TACAGTTATACAATATTGTACTCAGTATAAACCCTATAAGACATAAATTATTATTTTTATTTTTACATAGAGCAACTTCCTAAGGTATTTTCTTAAGTAAAATAATATATATATGTATATATCTCCTGTTAAATTTGCCTATCACATTTGCTTTCCTAGATAACAGTGGTCCTTGAGGATGATGTGCCAAAGAAGAATTTGTGTATGTGTGTTTGCATTTGCTATCAAAGTAAAGAAATACCTTTGGTGGCGCTGTCTAATGTTTGCCATAAACTACCACTGTATTCTGTAGAATAGCTTAAGAATTTTTTTTCTTTCTGCTTACTTTTTGGTTACGTAGAAATGCAAACTGTGAAAATTTGTTGCTAGGTATTAATTGAATTAACTACTTTTGTAGCATTTAGGCAGAAATGTATCCATCCTCACAGTAATTGTTCTTTCTTACAGGAAGATATGAACCTTAATGAAGAAAAGAAGGCTCCTTTAAGAAACAAGGATTTTACCACCAAGCGTGAGATGGTTGTCCAGTACATTTCTGCTACTGCCAAATCCGTAAGTAGGGAGGCTTTCCACGCTCCAACAGAATTAGCTTATCTGTTTACTTAAAAATCAGTTAAACCTCAGTTCTTCAAATACTTCCCTCATTGTACACTTATTGACAGTTTAGGAAATGATATATATTCACCTTTACATATTTTCATTTATCAATACTGAACTATTCATCTTTAGAAATGAGAGATCCATTATTATAAGCAAAAGACTAAGAATAATGGGGGTCTCTTGATGTAATTCAGTGACATGGAGGGCAAAGGTTTTAAGAAATTACCAAAAAATTGCAGTGTTTTGTGGGTATTACACTCAATACATAGATTGTTAGATGAAATTGCAGACTTTGAATGAGAAAACACAAACAGCATAGCCAACTTTCATTAAGCCTACATTAAAGCTATGTGACTGGTGTCTGCTTGCATGTAATTTTTAGTCATGTTTTTTCATATGCAGCTTTCTTGTTTTTTTTTTCATTACTTTATGTAAACCAAACTGTTCAAGCTACCTTATAATTAATATAGGACAGCTCTTCTTCATGCAAAAGAAAGCACATACTAGGAGCTTTAATTAAATATATAAGAATTTCAAAACCTGAGCACATAATTTATTGAAAGGATTTATTTTCAACAAGAAAAGTGTACTACTTTAATGGAGCTTGAAAAAATTCTGTTAACCACCAAAGGCTCTTTAAAAAATAATCTTCATGTTTGAATTTTTGTATCAAAAATATGTTTTTGAGATGACAAAATAAAACATTTATATTTCTGAACAGCTGTGCACACATAGATTTCACAAAATCACTGTATTTATGTGTGACATATATGTATACATATATATACAAATAGTAATTTATGTGTAGGTGTATGAATATATTATGTATGTGTGTGTGTATTTGTACACATGTGTTTAAAACATAAAATACTTTCAATTGAAAACATTGACTAGTGAAGAGAGGAGTTCTTCATTGGAAAAAATAAATTCTAACATTATTGACTATACCATTGATGCTTTTTAGTACAGTAATTTCAGTAGCACCTACTGAATTTTGCAGTTTTATTGATTCTATAATGTACTTTAAGCAAGCTAAATCTGAGTTCTGAACTATTTAAACATAATGCCTTGTAGCTCTGCCAGAGCAGAGCAACAGCATGGTTTTTTTTAATTTGCTTCTGGTATGCAAGGCAGAAATATGTTTCAAGTGATAAGTGAAATTTGCCATGAGCATCATTTTCAATAGAATTAGGTGATGCATAGGGTTTTACTTTGAAATTCTGATGAATCTCTTCTCATTTTTGCACTCAAGTTATTGTTCACAGCAAAATGCTTTAGGAAATGCAGGGCGTGTTTTCAGTGTTATTTTTCAAATACCTAAAGGCAAGCACACTAGCAACTCTATATAACTAAGCCTGAGTGCAAAGTGAAGATAATATGTGACTCATTATGTGGTGTTTTAATGATAGGATTTTGAGATTTTGTTAGTGTCTCTGGCTTATTTGCTGGTGTTGTTTGCTGGTGTTGGGACCTACTATAATGAAGATAATATGATGTTCTTATTCTTTGAATTTTGATAATTACTCTCCATAAGGACAATATTTGACGTATGTTCATGTTGTTTGTTCTTCAGCTGACCAAAGATTTGTAGAGTTTTAAAATTTATGTTCATTTTTAGATTTAAATGAAAAAAAATTGGACTAAAGATCTAGATTCGTGATAAATGCAACTGCCTAATACGTTAAGATTCTGGGTTCTGTTTCCAGCCATGGAGAGGAATTGAGAGCTAGATGTAGAGAGAGGGCGAGGAAGGGAAATGTCTAGATATAAGAGGAGCTTATTATTATTTTTTGTCTTTTGGGGACAGGGTCTCCCTGTAGCCCAGCTGTCCTGGAACTTACTATGTGGACCAGGCTGGCCTTGAACTCACAGAGATCTGCCTTCCTCTGCCTCCCAAGTGCTGGGACTACAGGTGTGTGCCACCACGCCCGGCAAGAGGAGCTTATTCTAACTGCCTTATTAAGATGCTGGAAACATAACATTTTAAAAGAAAAAAGACATGAAAATTTCAGTTTTTAGGACAGTGGCCACAAAATTAGTACTACTGCCTTTATGGTCCATTGCTTCATTTAGCACACCTCTGAACACTTCATGTATTCACAGTCCTTCATCAGAGTTCCCAGCTTATCCATTTTTGCTAATATTTTTCATGGACCAAATGTTTTGATGGAAGAAAGCCTGTTGACAAGAATGCTTTGAAGCTTTCTCACCTTGGGGAGACATTAATTAGTACAGGCTTCAATCATTAAAACTACGCAAATTGTTTATGTAATTTCCTTTTAAAGATAAGAAGGATGGCATTCAATGAAAAAAAATTCAATGAGGAAACAATGCTTTTACCTGTTTATCATCATGACACTAAATTTTGCATCAATTATCATGGAATGTAGGCTGCTTATGTGCGTATAACTAAGGTTTCTACCCTGCTGTCTGGCTTTCATTAGGTGTTAAATGTGCTTTCTCTGTCTTTTACATTTTTATTCTTTTTATTACATTGTTGCACTCATTAAAGATGTTTCCTCATTTAAAGCAGATATGATGGCACCTGCTATGTTATAAAAAATGCTTTCTAGGTATTCCAACTTTTCATCTGAAAATAAAAGGCTATAATTCATAATTGAAAAAATGTTTCATAGTCACATTGAACATATGTGAGGATTATAGTTACATGGAAAATGTTGTGATTTATTATTTTTAAGTTTATGTGTGTGTGTTGCTTGCTTATGTGTAAGTGCGCCCAGGTTATGCAGTGCTACAGAGGTCAAAAGAAGGCATCGGATCCACTGGAACTGCAGTTATAGCTGGTTGTTAGCCTCCTTATGGGTGCTGGGAATCGATCCTCTGCAAGAGCAGCCAGTGCTCTTAGCTGTTGTTATCTCTCCAGACTGTATAGTTAAATTTAAATGTACATTTTATATTTTTCCTTTAAACTAACTGCATTTGTCATTTTGTATGGAACTTAACAAAAAAGTGAGCTCAGTGAGAAACAGCCATCATGCTCCTGGGTAAGGGCACTGAAGTAAGATAAAACAGCACACAAGTATGCAGTCAAAACCTGTTTCTAAAACAAACAAGAGTCTTGTATTATATAATTAACTTTGCTAGAATTTGTGTGGTATAAGAGAATATTATGGAAACCACAAGTCAATGCTGTACAATTGATTGCTTGGCTATTTTCCTACTTAAAGTCCTATAATAGTTATGTGACTAATAAACAAAAAGTAGATTGAGTACCTATCAGTGATAAGTGAAATCCATGTGCATTTTCTTGGAGCTGAACTTTTGTCCCTGTAGGAATAGTAGTTCTAGACCTGACCTAGGGCAATTGACATAGATGGATTATTTGGCTATAAGTAGCCAAGAAGAGTGTGTATTTTCAAAGCCCCATTTCAGAAATGGAAAAGCAAGCTGTATTAGTATTGCTAAAGCTGCCTTGTTGGTTCAGAATCATGAAACGGGCACAATATGTTGGTGATTTACAGATGATGTGGCATGCACTTAACAGCATATGCAGACATTCATGAGGCAAAGTTATTTACCAAAGTCCTAACATTAGTTCACCAAATGCCAGTGTCCTTATTACAATAACGAGGAAGTAGTTTATTTCTAATTTTAAACACTTCATTTGAAATTGAGAGTTTTAGAACATGTGTTTATACTATTGAAGATATGTGACACATTGAGAGGTACAGTTGATCAAAAAAATTCTCAGTAGGACACAATACAAAGTACTTATATCAACTACATCTCCGGATTTGTAGACTTACCTGTGTAATATCTAGTTCAGCACACGTATGTGTATCTGTGTGTGTATTTGCGGTGGCTATGCTTTTACCATTTTGAGTACTTTTGTCCTCATGTCCTTTCCATTCATGGCCTGAATATCATGAGACAATTGTGCTCAGATATGAGCCCAAGCTACTTTCTGCCTGCTTCTGTTGACTAATCAATCTAATATATCTCTGCATGTGCTTTAACTAAATGAAGTCATTCTGCAATCCAAACGAATAATTTAATGAACATTACATAGGCCATATTTTAGTTATTTCATTGACTATGGACCTGTCTTAATTGTTAACACAGGCTCTGTCTTTCCTTTTTGTCTTATGTCTGTGCTAAATAAAAAAGGGACAAATACAACCTCTGTCTGCTTCGATGGGAGGAAATAATTTAGGTCAATAGTCTATCTTTCAATTCAGAGGACTGTTAATAGTTGCAGAGAAGCTTCAGTTCAACCAAATAATCACTGCCTGTAAACGGTGTGATGAGTGAATATTTAAGAAACCCGCTTCTCTATTTGGAGACTCATAGATTCCTCTGAAATAATCTACTTGGAAACTATTGTTTTCCTTTTGTATCTTGTATCTTATTCAACTTAGGATACTTATTGGGCTTTCAGTTAAATTTGATGTTTGTTTTTAAAGTACTAGCTGCAAAACAGAACACATCTTGATAATAGCTGCTGTCCGATTAAGGGTTTTGGATCTTTCTTTGGACACTGCTTTGATATTCAATTTTGAGCATCTGTTAATAATTATTTGATTTATGTTTAAGTTGATGAGCTTACTTTTGCTTTCTTAAACACAATCATGACTCTCAGAAATTGTCTTATGTCTTATCTAATATTAGGAAAGCTCAAAGTTGAAATTTTTGAACTATTTTCTCCTTATTAATATGCACATTTTTCTATACAAAATGCTTTTTGTTCTCATATCATAAAAACTCTGATTTCATAATGGAAATGATAGGATGGCCTAGAAAAGAATAATAACCAATTTGTTCTGTAATTTTGAAGTGTAAGTTCAAGCAATATTATATACTTTGAATTTAAAAGAGTATAAAATAATACAGCTTTCAACTGAAGTACACTCCTGAACTTTATGCAACATTTATATATTAAAATAGCTTATTCAGCTTAAACAGTGTACTTTCCATAGTGAGAAAACAAAATTAAATAATTTTTTTGTTGATAATTTCTTTTAGGGTCTGTGAGCTGGGAAAATATCTCATGTTACATTGCAATTAAATCTGTATTATTTGATATTTAGATTGCACTGCATGAGTAACACATCATAGTGTGTGTTTAAAAAAAATCCAAGTCTTACTTATTCTTGGATTCCCTATTCTATAGACTTACACACATTAAAACATGGCAGACCTTAAAACTGATATATTGTTTTAGCGTCATGATCTAAAGCATTCAATATAGAGAGTATGCTGGTTACTAATTTACTAAACGCTTAACATCTATGGAAAGCTTTTGATTACTAATATTATTGCTGTCTGTTTTTTTTCACATCATAACCATTCTTCGTTGACCACTGCATGCAGATAGTTGGAAGTAAAGTTACGGTAAGTACAAAAGATGTGTTTTACCATTAGCACTAAATTTGTATTTGGGGGAGCTGTGATTTTTGCTTGCAATGCTTAATCTTTGGTTTTTCTTTTGGCGTATATTTTTCCAAAGTAGCAAGATATGTGTTGAAATCAAATGATTAAACTTTAACTACAGTAAACTATGGCAAGTATTTTCTTAATAGAATATGTCTGTATTTTCTTAGAAATTTATTTTTCTGTTTCATTTCTTGGGGCTGCTACCTCTGTCAGTCTGTATAACTCTAATGGAACTGTGTGCTGTGCATCAATTTCTCAGAATCACAGAGCCTCCTAAAGTATTCTTTCTGTCTTTACACAAATTCTTATTAAGATGCCTCATTTTGACTATAGTATCTTTGAGTTATATATAATATAATGAAAACAACTTAGCCTATGCAGTTAAGAAGACTGGGTACTTAGTTTTGTTGGATGCTATTCATTGGCTCTGACTTTGGAGGAATAATTTTTATCTGCAGTTAGTAAATGAATAAATAGAAAATATTAGTTTTAATTGTGTTTTAAGATTTTTTTGATGTGTAATTTAAATATTTTTATACTGAAGATATTATATTTATAATACACTTACATGGCAAGCCTGTGTTGTTATTCACGGCAGTTTGCAATTACTTTGGCTCCTTAACTGTGCATTGTTCATTTGGAGAATAGGGCATGAAACAACCATAGAATCGCCAAGAAGTGAGGTATCTAGGATAGTGGATGTGTTTAGTATTTACTTTGCATTTGAAAGTTCTTTACTCTCTCCCTCCCTTTTCCCTCTTTCTCTCTTTTTTTCCCCTCTGTATTTTTCTTCCTCCCTCTCTCCCTCTCTCCCTCTCTCCCTCCCTCCCTTCTTTCTCTTTCTTCTATGTTTCTTATATCTTCTTTTTATTTTTTTAAATTCATGTGATATTTAGAGGGGCAACATGTTAATAGTTTTAGGGTAATTTTTAAAATTCAAATGTTTCTTCAGGGTTTTTGTGTGTGCCAAGTGTTATGCTACATATATTGATTACTACATACAAATTACATAAGATTTTTAGTTTATATGTGTTGAAAAAAATCAAGATTATATGTACATGTTGCTTTTGATTTTACTAGAAATTTATAAGTATGAGCGAGAAGTAAGTTTGTGTTAATTAGAGGAAAACCCATGCAAGTTCCTGGAGTTAGGCAGGGCTCTCAGGAATAGTTTGTTATGAAGGCTGAGATTCCACTAGGGAGAAGAGACAACAGAAAAATAATAGTAAATACAGAAAGGCCCCGAGAGGGAAATATTATATGTATGAGGGAAGAGAAGAGCCTTGTTGGAATAAAAATACATATTGGAAAGATTAAACATCAAGTTGAATGAGAGTCTTGAGGTTCAGGCACAAAACTGGAAATTTGTTTGAGCCAGGAAATTATGTGGTAAAAACAGGGTTTAAGGTACATTTGGTAAATACATATGCTGGATTCAGAAATATTTCTCAGACTTGACAGTCTGTTCCTTCCCCCACCAGCCTTTTTTTTTTGTTGTTGAGTTCTAGGATGTGTCCAATACATTTTCATTTAATTAAGTAATTAATTAAAATTTTAATATTATGTGTGTGCACGATATGTGTGGGCATGTTTACCACAATATGTGTGTGTGTTTGTGTGTGCATGTGTGTGTGTATGTGTGTGTGTGTGTGTGTGTGTGTGTGTGTGTGTGTGTGTGTGTGTGTATGTGTGGTCAGAGCCAAAGTTCATGGAGTCTATTCTGTCCTTCCCTCTTTATGTAGGTTCTGGCATTTGAACTCAAGTCACTAGGCCTCCGAGTCAAGTGCCTTTACCTGCAAAGCCATCTTACTAGCCTGAAATTTGTATTTATAGGTAGTGCTGTAAGAGATCATGTTAAAGGTGGTTTGAAGAGCACACATTGAGAAACATAGCCATTCATCAAATAGCATTTCTTAAAAATGATGGTGGTTCTGTAAGAATATAATGAAGGTAGCTGGAAGTATAGCTCTGTCATGGAACACTTTCCTAGCATGTACTGGGTTTGGGGCTTGGTCAGTTTTTTTTTCTTTCTCTTTTTGAGATTGTTTTTGTCCTTTTGAGACACAATCTCCCTATAGCCCAAGCTGGCCTGGAACTCACTATGTAGACCAGGCTGGCCTTGAACTCACAGAGATCCGCCTGCCTTTGCCTATGGAGTGCTGGGATTAAAAGCATGTGCCACCATGCTGGCTTGCTTTTTTGCATTTGAGCTGTCAAAGACAGGAAATGAGAAAAGTTAAATTTAATTTAATTTAATTTTTACTTTCTCCAATGTATAGTTTTATTGAATTTTTCTGCATTTCACACAAAACATCTTAATTATCTTTATACCCCCTCATCTGCACCCTCTCATAGTCAACCCTACAAATTTCCTGCATTCAGTCGTATATGTTAAGGCTGATGGAATCAAGTTTGTGTGCCCAGATATCCCTCAGTGCAAGTTCATCCACTGGAGTCCAGTTAGCCTATCTAGAGTCTCTCCCTTAAAGAAGATCAACTCTCCCTTACCCAGCAGTAATCTGTTGCACATAGTTCTTCGGCTAAGTTTGGGGATTGCTGCTCATTTCTCCAGTTCTGTTCTGGATTTTTGTCTGATTGAGTTTGCATGGGTCTTGTGCATGGTGACATCATTGCTGTAAGTTCATATGAGCAAGTTCCAAGAGACCTGGAAGACACTTTCTTTATGGTCATGCACCAACCCTGGCTCTTTCAATCTTTCTGCCCCCTCTTCTGCAATTGTTCCTGAGCCATGGGTGGGTGAGGTTTAATATAGGAGTCCTATCCTAGGACATGTACTCTGCAGTCTCTTATGCTCTGCACTTTGACCAGTTGTAGCCTTCTCTGTGCATCATACTATGTTGCGTGACGAAGCTTTGCCAGAGAGAGTTGAGAGATGCATTAGTATTCCTTCTAAATAGTATTAGAACTCCATGTTCTGCTATATTCCATGAGTTGTAAGTGTAGAAGTTCCATTGTAGATGTGTCACTTTAGGGGTGCGCCTCTCTCAGACACTTATTCTCTGTGTGTGACCAGTTGTGGTTTAATTTTAGAGTAGAGGTAGAAGTGGTACCTTATTTTTTTGTCTTTATTTTTCATGGTTAAAGACAGGAATGAATAAACAATATATGAAATCACTCCGATTAAAAGACAGCTACAAAAGGGCTTATGTGTCATGAACCCATTAATCTTCAAAAGATGGGAAGATTTTTTTTCACTAATAAAACAGGCAGGTAGGCATTTCAGAGATGCTTCAGAGAGAATAATATTAGAATAACCAATTTAAATATTGTGAGTACCTAGAGATTGTTTACATTAGTAAAAAAGAAATGATTGGGTTAAGAGCCATCATGAAATTGGAAGCATGGAATATATAATGAAGTAGGTCTGTACAGCCTTTTTTTCTTTATTTGTGTCTCCAGTGTTAATTATTATCATACATGGAGACAGTTTGAGAACCTGTTATTGATCTTTATCATCAGTGTTACTGTTCACTATTTTTAAAAAATTTATTTAAAAAGCAAGCTTGAAAACTGCTTGTTTTATGGATCTAGCTAACTCCTCACCGCCCCCCCCAGGTCATATTGATTCTGACCTTGGTTATTAAATCTTTGTAAACACTCTGCCCATACTCGCTCCACAGTTCTTCCATAAAGCCTATCTTGATCCTGATTGCCCAGTCTTCTTTCTCATTTCTACCTACTAAGGTGTTGAATTCCTTTAACTATTTAGTTTAAACTTATGCAGTCACGTTCTTCTTAGTAGTTCTCATTACTTTATGTATTCCATAAGGGCTGTTTTTAAATGACACTTCTATTTTACTTTATGGTAATTTACATAATCACTTGATTTAAAATATGTAAAGTATAAAGACTGCTTGGTAAACTGAAGTAAAGACTATGAACTATTTTTTCTTGGCTGAATATTCAAGATGTGAGCTATTTGTAGATGTAAAGGTAGAAATACAATTGGTTGTGGGTCAGAAATGGGAAGGATTTTGCTGGATATTAGGAGAAGAATGTTTCACTTGTTTATTGGAAGCTATGTATTATTTGGCATGGATTGCTTAGAGAAAAACAAATATAAAAAAACCCCAAAGCTACTATGTTTTCTCAGGTTAATATTGACAAGGTTATTTTAAAGATTAAATAAAACAGCTGAGGATTTTGTATAGATACTATGAAGTGAAAATGATAAAATATCATCTAGTACCTTATTAAAAGTAGCACAGAGAATTTGGAGTCAGGAGGAGATAGAACTGAAAGGCTTTCAATGCCTTCTAGCTCTAAGCAAGTGTGGTAGAACTTTGTGAACCAAAATAAATTGTTTTTATTGTTTAGTAACACATTGAATAAAACATTTAGAAAATAGTTAAAAATGGTTAAGTTTATTTGATTTCAAGTCAGGAATAATTTATCCACATGTAGAAAAGTAAGCATTCTTTTATAGGAAAAAAGTGAAAATGGACATAATTATGCATGCTATTTGAAGAATAGAATTATAATGACCAGAACTTATAATGTTACATATAAGGTAATTTAATATCATAAACAGTTGAGTGCCCAGGGCAATAACTAGGGCTCTGGAGGCAAGTGATTGTTTTAGCTGTAGAAAGATTTGATTTTAAATACCTGATTTACCATTCCTTCAGTCTTTGAGACCTTGTAGTTTGAGATGGTCTCAAGTAGCCAAGGCTGGACTCAAACTCCTAATCTTCCTGCAACCACCTCCCTACGTGCTGGGATTGCAAGCCTGCCCCACCACTCCTGTTCCTTACCTGTCTTCTTAAAGCAGAAATTACTAAGTACCTATTACATGCCAGGCACTTTTGGTGCTGTTAACAGAGCACTTGACCATAATGCTTGGCTATCGATCAACGCTAACATTCATCCTCATTAAGATAAAAAATAACATAAAATACATAAAAGTAGAAATATGAATTTCTTTGCCCTTTAGTCTA